AATAAAGATACTGCTTTAAACCCACAAAGAGATGGCAGCAGTTTTAAAATTCAATCGTCACTAGAACACATTGTGAGTTGTTTACAATAATAATGTTTCCTGGAACAGAGCAAAAGCAGACAGAACACAGCTGATGGGCTCTGAACTAAGGGACAATTGCTTGACAGCAAGGTTTTGATGGACTCCTGACCACATGACCATGACTTGTATGAGGTTAGAACAGCAGAAACATCTAGAAGAAAAAGCTTTCTTCTCTGTCTCTCTCCTGTGTGGAAATACCAGAAAATCTCCTGTAACAGCTCGCTGGCTTCCAATCACTTTTCTTCACAAACTCCCTGTCAAAGGATGAATAAAATGCCTTTGAAAAATAAATAAAACGATGATTCTGAACCTGTAAGTGAAAGAATAAACATTGGTGTGCAAACAACATTAGTGTCAACAGCAAAAAACTAAAAGGAATTAGAAGAAACTGAAAGAAAACAACTTTAAACCTCCTGTGATCCAGATTGGTGCTATTGAATTGTGCTTGTCTAATGTTATTTTCCATTCTTAATGTCAATGTGCTGTCTGACTTTGTGTGTCTCTTTGTGAAGGGGAAAAGTTCAAAGGGTAGAATTTAAGTTAAAAAGTTCCTCGTGTTTCTTACCTGTCAGTAGTTAAGTTACGAGGAGAGATTATACAAATTAGGCCTGTTTTCTCTAGAATTTAGAAGGTTAAGGTGTGATCTGATCAAAGTCTTCAAGATATTAACAGAAAAAGACAGTGTAGAGAAAGATAAGCTATTTCCACTGATTGGGAATTCTAGAATTAGGCAGCATAGTCTTGATAATTGGGGCCAGACTATTCAGGAGACAAGTTAGGAGGCACCTCTACATGCAATACACATTTTAAATCTGAGATAGATAAATTTTCATAAGGCAAAAGAATTAAGGGATATGGGCCGTAGGCAAGTATATGGAGTAAGGCCACAGATCAACCATGATCTCTTTGAATGGTGGAACAGGCTTAAGGGATTGCATGGCCTTCTTCTGTTCCTATGTTCCTATTGGTTAAAAACAATCTGTTTTAAATCAATAATTGTTTTGTTATAAGTACAGAAACTTGTTGAGCATTATCTTTTAATCTGAGTTCATCAGTCAGGTAAACTGGGCACTTTGGATAGTATGACTACATTTTTTCACATTTATGATGACTCCAAATATCAAAGGACTTGATTTCCTGCACACTAATCCAGTGGATCACGACAAAAATAAATAATCAGAGTGACAGGGCAAAATTGTCTCAGTTTCTCAATGTTGCAGGCATTGTCAAAATGAGTTAGGATAAAAGGTGACACTGGCAGAAATTAGATTCTCGACATTGAGAGGCAAAAAATAAAGGTCTGATTCTCCAACCATATTTTGAATGCCGGACAAGATGAGAATATCACTAGTGCATGGTGAGAAGTTCATTTGCATGAATTAGCATGCTTTAGTACCTAATCATACCTTCACTGGTTTGCAATTTCGTATTCTTCCAACTGTCAGATAGAAACTAGACATGAAAATTCCCAACATTAATGTCAGATGGTGTAACTGGTGACTCCAGCCCACCGCTCCCTATTCCACACCCCCATCCTGGACAGGAGTCATTAATATCTCAGGGCATGTTCCATGAGCAGCAACTGTGCCAGTGTCGGACCGGGGTGGACAAAGTCACAGACACCAGGTTATAGTCCAACAAGTTTATTTGAAATCAGAAGATTTTGGAGCGCTGCTCCTTCATCAGGTAAAGTGCCTTCTAAAATAGGGCCTTGGGTGGTGTTGAAGAACAGAGAAAGATCTAGGGTTCAGGTACATAATTTCTTGAAGTTTGTGCCACATGTGGAGAGGGTAGTTAAGAAGGCATTTAGCATGCTTGCCTTCTTTGCTCAGATCATCGACTATAGGAATTGTGAAGTCATGGTAAGGTTGCACAGGACGTTGGTGAGGCCTCTTCTGGAGTACCGTGTCCAGTTCTGGTTGCCCTGGTATAGGGAGGATATTATTAAGCTGGAGAGGGTTCAGAAGAGATTTACCAGGATGTTGCCAGGAATGGAAGGTTTGTGTTATAGGCAGAGGCTGGATAAGCTGAGACTTTTTTCACTGGAGCATAGGAGGTTGAAGGGTGACCTTATAGAAGTGTTTAAAATAATGAAAGGTATAAATAAGGTGAAAGGCAGGTGTCTTTTCTGTCTGGTAGGCGATTTCAAGCCTAGGGGGCATAACTTTAAAGTGAGAGGCGAAGGATTTGAAAAGGACATGAGGGGCAATTTTTTTTTTTTTTTTACACAGATAGTGGTTTGTGTATGGATTAAACATTGCAAAAGTGGTGGATATGGGTACAGTTACAATGTTTAAAAGACATTTGGATAAGTACATGAATAAGAAAGGTTTGGAGGGATATGGGCCAAGCGCAAGTAGGTGGAACTAGTTTAGTTTGGGATTATGGTCAGCATGGACTGGTTAGACCGAAGGGTCTGTTTCCGTGCTGTGTGACTCTATGACTCTATGGTCCCTCAAGCCTGCTCTGCCATTCAATGGGATCATATCCGATTCGACATTCCTCATGTCCTGCCTTTTCCCCGTAACCCTACATTTCCCTACTGGTCAGGAATCTCTCTCAGCCTTAAATATATACATGGACTCTGCCCCAAAGCTCTCTGTGGCAATGTCTTCTGAAGTCTCTGAAGCAGGTGAGAAATTCTTCCTCATCTCAGTCTTAAATTGGTGCTCTTTTATTCTGAGACCATGCCCTCTGGTCCTAGAATCCCACAAGAGGGGAAACATCCTTTCAGCATTTACCCTGTAAAGCCTCGTTAGAATCCTACATATTTCAATGAGATCACCTCTCATTCTTCTGAATTCCAGTGAGTACAGCCCCAACTTATTTAACTTAGTTGGGATTGTGACTCCAGACCAGGGAGTGGGCCTGGTTAGTCCTGCAGGTCCAGTGCAACCAGTCTGAAGAATGGAATTAAGTCAAAAGTTGGTGAGTTCAGTCAAGGGCCTGCTCACTTATCTGACATGGCTGTTTGTGCAGGGTGAGAGGATGGGGGTGGGGGAGCCACTGTCAGTCCATAGTGGTCAGCCCAATGAAAGTCAAGGGGGGGTATATCAGGGCCCATTGCTGTGGTAGGGAAGTTGGTGTAGTCATGCTGGGATGCAGATGGAATACAATAGTTATGAAGGGGACAACTCAAGTGGGGGAAGATTGTAATGTGTTGGAGGACATTGATGTCAGCACGGATGGGGTCATTGTTTGGCACAACCACCCTGGCCATGGTGGGGCTACAGTGCAGCATGATGGTTGGCATGACGAGGCAGTAGTGCCAGGCCAAAGGGGTAATATTGAAATGCATGGAAGGAAGTGAGGTTAAAAATTGCGGTGCACTAGCCATCAACTTTTGTTGTTCCCTGGAATTGGGGTAAGTGCCAGAAGAATGGAAAATTGCCAATATTCTGACTTTGTTCAAGAAAAGTTGAAAGCACAATCCCAGCAAACACAGACAATTAACTTCAGTGTGGGGAAGCTTCTAGAACAATTATTCCAGATAGAATTTGTAGTCATGAGGAAAACGTTGGGTTGATTAGGAAGAGTCAGAATGGATTTCTAAAGGGAAATCATGTTTAACTAATTTGCTGGAGTTTGTTGAAGAGGTAACAGAAAAGGCTCAATGAGGGTAACAACATGGATGTAGTATACATGGATTTCCAGAAGGAATTCTAATTAACGCCACATGTCAGGAAAATCATCAATCATGGTATAAAAGGAACAGAAGCAATATAGATACAAAATTGGCTGAGCGAAGGGAAACTGAGAGTAATGGTCGATGGATATTTTTTGGGCTGGAGGATGGTTAGTCTGGAGCTCCCCAGCATCAGTATTGAGACCCTTGTTTTTCCTGATATATACTAATGTTCTGTATTTTGGTGTGCAGGAGACAATTTCAAAGTTTACAGATGATACAAAACTTGCAAGAATTTTAAACTTGAGGTGGATGGTGTGGAACTCCAAAAGGATATTAACGCTTGGTTCAGTGGGCAGATAGGTGGCAGATGAGGTTCAATGCAGAGAGCTGAGAGGTGATGGACTTTGGTAGGAAGAACATACTTAAAATAGGAGTTACAATTCCAAAGAGGGTGCAGGAGCAGAGGGACCTGGGCACAGATCATTGAAGATAGCAGGACAGATGGATAGAAAAGTTAATAAAGCATACAGTGGCCTTGGCTTTATTGAAAGGGCCATAGGGTACAGGAGCAAGGAGGTGGCATTGAACTTGTGTAAGACACTTATTAGACCTCGGCTGGAGTTTTGTGTACAGTTGTGGGTGCCACATTAAAGGAAAGGTAGGAATGCATTGGAGAGTGTGCAGAAGGATTTACAAGAGTAGCTCAAGGAATGAAAAATTTTAGTTACGAGGATAGTTTGAACAAGTTCGACTGTTCTCCTGGGAGAGAAGAAGGCTGAGAGAAGAGTTGATAGAGCCTTTCAAAATCATGAGCATGCTGGATAAAGTAGATATAGAGATTCTGTTTCCACTCATAAGAGGAACAAGAATGAGGGGACATTGTTTTAAAGTCAACACAATATAGATAGGAATGCAAGGAAGAAAGGAACATGGGGGTTCAGGGGCGCCCCTTAGATGTCTATGCTAAGCCTGCTACTTATTGTGCCAAACACAACCTGCATTGCCTTCCATAACTATGCGAATCATAAATTCGTAAATGTACACTGTACAATCACCTACTGCATTTACAAAATATGATGTGCTGCATTCATTGGAATAATGCCCCTGCGTTAAAGTTTTGTGTATAGGCATTCCATGGCCCTCCTTGTGACAGTCTCTATGTTCCATTGTGCAGAGGATTATGCCAATTGTCATTTGTGAATAATGTGAATGCTGACTGCTCACATCACTAAGAACCTGTTTTGATTCGGTTATTCCCAACACAGGTTCACTGGAACCACGACCGAAGAATCCAGGGTTTATTTTCACTACACTTCATGATGCAATGACGATGCAGGAAAACGGAGGAGCAGCCATCCGTGACTGCTGATCATTTACCTTTCCTTTTTTTGACAGACTAAATTCTGCCTTTTACAAATGCATTATACTTATGAGACCCTCAGTTTTGAGTTTAACAAAAATAGTGCTGTTTATATTTTCTAAAAACTGTGATAAGCAGTCCCCATGTGGCAAATGCTTTCCATTCTTGAGTCCCTTTGCAAATCGATTTGGATGCAAATTGGAATACATTGTAGGACAATATAAAATAGCCACTCATTAGTACAGGAAATACTCATATGTCAGATCTTTAAAATTACACCCCTGTATGAGACTGCGTTCGTAAGTATGAACATTCTTATGTTGGATGTTCATAAATCAGGGACTCCCTGTACTTCCACAATTTGAGTATACTAATCAGTTGAGCATTATTTCAAACATTGTTTTTACATATCTAAAAGAGTTATGAGTTAACTCAGTGTTACTTAAAACATTTAATAATTTTTTTTTACAAAACTTCAATATGTACATTGTCGAAACTTTTAAAACTTTAAATGCAGTCATAGAGTCATACAGCAAGGAAGCACAGTCTTCAGTTCAAGCCAACCATAATCCCAAACTAAACTGCCTGAACTTGGCCCATATCTTTCCAAACCTTTCCTATTATCTCAGCACTTATCTCAGCATCTTTTAAACTTTGTAGTTATACCTACATCAACCACTTCGTCAGCAGTTCATTCCACACACTAACTACTGTCTGTGTAAAAAAGTTGCCCCTCATTTCCTTCTTAAATCTCTCTCCTCGCACCATAAAAATATGTCCCCTAGTTTGAACTCCCCCACCATATAAATAAGAACGTTCATGCAGTACCTTCAGCCATATAATATTTTCTTTCTTGTCACTATAATCTTCTAGTTTTGGACAAGGCAACATAATTGATCTTCCAATATGTTGACTGAAAGGGTACACATCATCATGACACAGTCCTTTATTCTTTTTTACGTTCAAAGTTGTGACAGCACTCATTATGTTATAAGTTCCATTTCTGTAAATGGGAAATATTCAAAAGTTTAGTAGCCATATTAATATATGACCAATAAAGGAACGAGCACTTAAAGATCACTGTTTGAAAAATAGTTTTGATCATTCCTTTCTACCCATGCTTTTTTATATAACATTAGAAAACAGCTTTAATTCGTGCAGAGTGCCCACAATAGCAAGTTCGAGCCTGGAACAGAAGTGGAGGGCAAGGTAGGAAAGCTGGGGCAGGCAAGGCCAAAGTGGCTGGGGCTTTCTGCATGTGAAATCCTATTCATCCCTCAAGCCTTGCAGAAATTAACCATAGGCCATCTTTTAATTACATTTCAACAGGTTTCCATCTGACAAACCACGCATTGAGGTGTTGGGTTGGGAGAACAGCACAGTTCAAGTATCAGGGAAGTTTGCATTAGCAGAGGCTGGGAGGGGGGACAGTGGGTATAGGGAGCCGGTGTAGGGGCGGTCTCGTCACCTGGTAGTACATTTGTACCACCTGTGGGAAACATGTTCTTGCTCTTCCTTTCCCTCAAACAGTGCAATAAAAGGTACTCATCTCATGGATCTGGCTGTTTGGCTTTTATCTGCCCAGGAATCTCAACTTCCAGTTATGAAAAATAAAATCAAAAATGTTGTTAAAATGGAAGTTTGCAGCCTAAATGTTTACAGTGTCCAACCCACCCCTTGACTGCAGACATGGATAGGTTGGAGGCAGCTTGAATAAGGGCCCAAACATTCATGTTCAAATCTTCCATTGAAAGCACAGTTGCTTATCACAGTCCAAATCCGAATTTTCAGCCCAAGGCAAATGCGGGAATGTATCATTTCCTGCCAGCATGCCAAATCCCTGGCTCCATCTGCTCCCAGACCATTTCAGAGAGGCCAGATGGAGGGGTGGAAATGGTTGGAGGCAGAATCAGTAGAAATGCAACGTCCTATTAAGGCTTACCTTTGGAGAACAGCTGGAGCTTTCCTTTTGGCTTCCTCCAGGTCCTTGCCAGTCAGCGACTGAGGCACATGGTGGAGGATCTGGGGGAGACAGTGCAGCCATCTGGATGTGATCTCCCAGCAGCAGGTCAGGGCACCAGGGCCTGTAAGCTGCCTGAGTTCCCCTGCAGTGACAAGTCACCCTGTGGAGGAGTTAACCCCTCCACAGCTTCTTGCCCACTTATAAAGGTTTTTTTTAAACATGTTAAAGCTTAAAAAGTTGGAGTGAGGATGCCTTCCACTTGGGGTAGATCTGCTTCCTCATTTACATTCCATGACAGGTACTGTTTCTAACCCAGGGGGCCTCCTGTTGCCCATTCATCATCGCAAGCTTACCTGCCATCCCAGATCAAGCCTGGCCAACTGACTAAATTGGGAAAAGAAACACAAATGGAATGCTTTTTCCCCATTGGAGTCTGACAGCAGGATTCTGAGGCTTGCAGGGAATATCCTGGCCAAGTCTCTGGAATAATTCAAGACCTTCTGATGCCACCAAAAGGCAATCCCAACCATTCATCACTTTCTGTGTGTAGAAATACTTCCTGATTTCTGTGCTGAATTTACCACTTACTAGTTTGAGTTTAAAATGCCAGCAGAACCCCTTCTCACAGAAATTAGTTCAGACAGTTCAAGAAATATCTAACTATCCCCTGCAAATCAACTGCCATCATATTCCCTAGGAATGTTGTGCACAGATTTCCTTTAAAAATAACATCCTTGGCATTAGAATTGGACCTCAAGGTATCCATAACCTGATTGTATATGAAGCAGCTGCCTGTTTTACAATTCCAAGGGACACAATATCCAGGCTAAAGAAAATGCATTGTACTGCAAAATAATTGGAGCTCCATTGAGATCAAACACCTCTTAAATTCGGCTACAGTTCCCTGACATAGCTGCTCCAACAGATGCCTGGCTGACAAATGTAAGCCATGGTGTGGATTATTGCTACTTACGAGACAGAACAAACATAATTTCCAGAGTCATTCACAAATGTAGGCCAAAATCCTAATGAGGTTCCTTCAAGTGTAATTCTGCTTCTATTTCCTGAAAACTGCACATGACCAACTTTGGATGCGTTGCTGAACCAGGAGATGTTAAATCCGTGTGTTTGAAGGTCACTCAAGGCAAGTGGAGTGGATGCATTGCACAATTTACACCTTAAACGTGCATGCTCCCCTTCACGAGTAAGTACTGTTGTAGACCCAAAGAAACGGCATTTAGCCAGATCGCCTAAAACCAGAAGTGGAAAATCTTTGTTAGAAACAAGAGTAAAGCTCTATGAGTAGCATCCAGACTTTGTTCACACAGGTTTAGTCTCTGTGCTTTATATTGTGAGATTACGACATTTTCCATTCAATCCTAGCTTAGTTGAGTTGACTGCAAAATTTGTGAAGCACAGATTTTATTTTCTTTTGTAGCAAATTTTATCCAGGTGCTAATACTGCACAGGTACCAATTTAGGAAAAAGTGCAGGCCATTCAGCCCTCAAGCCTGCTCTGCATTTCAATAAGATCATGGCTGAACTGTGGCCTAACTCCATACTGTCTGCCTTGGGCCCACATCCCTTGAAACCCTTGCTTAATAAAAAAAAAGTCTATCTCAAATTTAAATTTAACAGTTGAATTAATATTGACTGCCTAACATTATTAATAATGAGGAAGAGAGTTCCAAACCTCTGCTACTCTTTGCATGGAGAAGTGCTTTCTAACATTGCTCTTGAATGGCCTGGCTCTAATTCTTAAACTATGCCCCCTACTTCTAGAACTTTTAACCAGTGGAAATAGTTTATCTTTATCCACCCTGTCTTCCTCTGTTAATATGCTAAAAACCTTGATTAGATCACCATTTAACCTTCTAAATTCTAGAGAATAAAGGCCTAAGGTGTCTAATTTCTCCTTGTAACTTAATTCAGAAGTCCAGGTACCATCATTGTAAACCTGTGTTAAACTCCCTCCAGGACCAAAACATCCTTCCTAAGATGTGGTGCCCAGATCTGCTCACAGTACTGTTAAGTGGGGTTTTATATAATTGCAGAATAATGTCTACATCTCCATACTACAGCCCTTTAGATATGAAGGCCAGCATTCCATTAGCCTCCTTGACTATTATTATGGACCAGACCAAGCTCCCTCAAAACGTGTCAACGAGATAGCCTAGACCCTAACTTTTTCTTATTTTAAAGGCAAGTGCCAGGTGTTACGTTCTGGATGCAATTCAATTGATCAATATAGTTGTTTGTCCAACTTTCTTAATACAATCTTCCAAACATGGAATAGGATATGAATCAGATTTTGTAACTGCATTGACATTGTGACACTTCACACATGATCATTGGATAGCATCTGGTTTTGGCACCATTACTATGGGTATGCTCCATTCACTGCAAATCACTTTGATTATAGTGTCTTCGATCATGTGTTCAATCTCGTTTTGAAATAGTGCCAACTTCATTGGGTTAAGTCTACGAGGATGTTGCTTAATAGGAATAGCATTTCCCATATCAACATCATACATAATTAGATTAGTACTTCCCAGCTTATTCCCACATATCTTCCTACATGATTATAATAACTCTTTCAGGTCATTTCAATTTTCCTCTGGAAGGTAACTCAATAATTTATCCAAATTTTCGAGAACTTCCTCATTGTCCAATCTACATTGAGGAATGTCCAAATCAGAATCATCTGAACTTACCAGTAACACATTCTCTTTTTGCTTTCCTTCCCTATCAAAATATCTTTCAAACCTATTTCACATGACACACTCTTGTGAGATTTCTTTCTATCTGGCATTTTTACCAAATAATTCACCTCATTCAATTTCTTTTCGATTTGATAAGGCCCACTAAACCTTGCTTTTAAAGATTCACCCACCACTGGTAGTAATACAGACACTTTATCTCCTTGAATGAAATTACGAATTTTCAATTTCTTGTCTGCTTCCTGTTTCATCACATGCTGTGCTACTTTTAAATGCTATCAAACCAACTCACCTGCTCTATTTAATCTTTCCCCTAAGTTTGACACATCGTCCAAATATGTTGTCTCTGAACTCTAACCAGTAAGTTTCCTTTCGTAATCCTTTTTCGCAACTCTTGGTTCTTTGTGGCCCTTTGTTAAGTCTTTATATTTGCCGCTTTCTGTGGGACCTGTACTGTTCTTTGTATTTTTATACACCCTTTCTTTTAATTTTATGCTGTCCCTTTCCTCCTTAGATGTCTTGTTCCTCGGTTGTTTTACTGTTAGCAGAACTCCTCAGTTTACTGTGGACAGTCTCTACCTCATCCCACTAAAGTTTGCCTGAGATAAATCCGAAATTCCAGTATCCAATGTTTACTTGTCTCTTAAGAACACTACATGAAACTCAATCATGTTATGATCACTATTTGACAAATGGTCTCTAACAACTAGGTCATTATTTAAACCAGGCTTATTGCTCATTACTAGATCCAATATTGCTTTTCCCCTTATCATATCCAAGACATATTATCATAGGAAACTATCCCGGATCCACTCCAGAAATTCACAACCTTTCTGGCAGGTTCTTCCCTGTCTCTCCCAATTGATGTCTAGATTGCCTGTGACAGGCCAGGACACCATAGTACAAATCAGGAACAAAAACAAAGTTGCTGGAAAAGCTCAGCAGGTTTGGCAGCATCTGTGAAGGAAAAAAGGGTTAACGTTTCCGGTCTGGTGACTCAGTCTGTTCTGAGGAAGGGTCACCGGACCCGAAACGTTAACTCTTTTTTCCTTCACAGATGCTGCCAGACCTGCTGAGCTTTTCCAGTAACTTTGATCTTGTTCCTGATTTACAGTATCCGCAGTTCTTTCAGTTTTAAAAAATGTAACAAGTTCTTTCCAGGTTCCAGCTGGTGACAACAGTGAAATGGTGCATTTATAGACCACTCCTAGAGCTGTTTTTCTAAGCTCATTAGCCAAATCCTCCAATGTGGCAGAGAATCTGATGTACTATTTCTGGACTACTTCCAAGTATTTTCTTTAATCTGCATGTTTCCCTGTTACCTGCTGTCAAAGTGCACCTATAATTGGATTTGGGTTGGAGTGTTGTGGCAAGGAAGATAGAGAAGCGTATTGGTGCAATGACACATCCTCACCGGACCCCAGTTTGCACATTCGCTGGGTCTGTGTCAATCCATTAGTGAGAATCATGGCTTCCATGTTGTTGTGCAGCAGATGAAGGATAGTGAATGTCTACAGGCAATCAATTTTAAGCAGAATGCTTCATCATATCTCCCTGTTGATGGAGGCCTTTGTGAGGTTCAGAAAGGCCGTGTACAGAGGTTGATTCTGCTGTTTGAATTTTTGTTGGATTTATGTGGCTACAAACATCATCAGGAGAAAGGTGAGGTGAAATGTTTTCTGTAAGGGTTGTGTGACTTTGGAATTTTCTGCCTCAGAAGGCAGTGGAGGCGGGGTCACTGAATATTTTTAAGGCAGAGATGGATAGATCTTTGTTTGGCAGACTATAATTGCACTGAAAATCGTTCAGAGGAGGTTTACTAGATTGATACCTGGATGAAGCTAGCTAGGAATGTAAAAAAGGATGGCAGGAGATTTTACACATATTAAAAAAAGGTAAACAGTAAGTAAAGGGAGTGTTGGTCTTTCAGGGAGTGAAAATGGGAAATTAACAGTAGATAACAAAGAAATGGTGGATGAAATGAACAATCGTTTTTCTTCCATCTTCACAGTAGAGGATATAAAAAAAACGTCCAGTAATAGCTGTAAATAAGAAGGGAGAAGGGAGAGAGGAGCTTTGCAAAATTACAATCATGAGGCAAGTGTTTCCAAGGAAACTTATGGACGTGGGGGTTGACCAGTGGTCAGGTTCAGTTGAATTGCATCCTAGAGTCTTAAAAGACATTGCTAATGAGGTAGTAGATGCATTGGTATCAATTTTCCAAACTTCCCTTGATTCAGGAAAGGTTCCATTGGACTGAATAGTAGCACATATAATTCAAGAAGGGACAGAGTAGTAAACAGGATAATACAGGCCAGTTAACTTTACATCTATCATTGAGAAGGTGGTAGAATTGATGAAGGAAGAGATTACCACTGTGTACTTAGAAAATCTCAAGATAATCCAGAAAGGTCAGCATGGTTTCATCAAGGAGAAATCATGTTTAATCACTTTATTGGAATTCTTTGAAGGAGGAACACGCTGTGGATGAATGGCAGTCTATGGACGTAATACACTAGATTTATAGAAGACACTTGATAAGATGCCACATCAAAGGTTATTGTGGAAACCAAATGCTTAAGATGTAGGAGGAAACAGATTAGTATGAATAGAAGACTGACTGGCTAGCAGAGAACACAGATTATACATAAATGGGTCTTTGCCTGATTGAGCAGGATGCAATGAGTGGAGTCCCACAGGGGTCTATGCTGAGGCCTCAATCTTTTACTATTTACATCAATGACTTAGATAAGGGGAGTAAAGATATCGTAACAAAATTGGCAGGTGATATATAGAGACAGCTAGCAAAGTATGCGGTGAAGAAGACATAAGAAAGTTGCAGATGGATACAGATAGTAGCATCTGGTTGTAATGTGAGAAATTATGAAGTGGTTCATTTTGGAATGAAGAATAAAAAAGCAGAATGTTACTTAAGTGGAGAGTTATTGCAGAATTCCAAGGTGCAGAGGAGTTTATGTGTTTTGATGCATGGGTCACAGAAAGTTAGAATTCAGTTCCAGCACATAATCACAAAAACTAATGTGATGCTACCCTTTATCAAGACAGAAATTGGAGATAAAACTAGACATAATATGCTTCAGCTATAGAAGGCATTGGTGAGATCACATCTTGAATACTGTGTGCACTTTTGGAAGGATATAATTGCACTGAAAGTTGTTCACAGGAGGTTTACTAGAATGATACCTGGATGAATGGGTTGTCTTCTGAGGATCACTTGAATAGGCAGGGTTTTCTATAAAAGTGAGCGGTGGTGTGATTGAAGCGTATAAGATGCTGAATGATCTTATCAAGGCAGATGTGGAAAGGATGTTTTCTGTCATGGGTCAGTCCAGAACCAGGGGTCACTGTTTTGAAATTAGTGGGTTTCTTTATCAGGACAGAGGTGAGGCGAAATGTTTTCTGTAAGGGTGTGTGACTTTGGAATTTTCTGCCTCAGCAGGCAGTGGAGGCAGGGTCATTGAATATTTTTAAGGCAGAGATGGATAGATTCTTGTTAGGCAGGAAATCAAGGGTTTTTCAGTGTAGATGGAAATGTAGATTTCAAAAGACAAACAGGCTGGTCATGAACTTACTGTGCTGACTTTTAGGCTTCAAGTTAAATCTGGATACCAGTGGGTTACTGCTTGCTTCGAAGTCACAAATCCATACATCCAGTAATCCTAGCAAATTAAACTGCACCCGGAAATGCCACAAAGTATATAAGGTGGTTCCCATTGACAATACATTTAAGGTGTATTGTTGATATTGTGTAAAGTGAGTTTTACTGCCTATTTCTATTGAACCTGCATGTATTTTCATGACAATTGGTAGACAAAGGGAGAAGCTGTTTTATTCCAACATTCCCAAATATCCTTCACGTCACCAAAATTGTAATTAAGTACAAAACAATATTCCACTTGGGTCTATGAATTCACCATTTGTGTCTTATACTGGAGTGCTTCCCTAAATTTTTCTCACTGTGACATAACATCAATTCTTCAAAGTTGTTACGATGTCTCAGTGAGAGCTGTAAGTGCAGGATGTGGGGTTGAGAGAGCAGGTGGAGTATAGTTATCATAACTCCATTAGTTGATCGTATTTGATCGTGTTGACCCTCATGACGCACTTCAGAGTTCATTTTGATCCTAAACCTAGCTTCAAGCTGCATCCTATCCCTCAACAAGGCAACCTACGTTAACTTCTGCTACTTCATTCATCTGCTTCCATCATCATCCACATTACTTTTGAAACCTTTTTCTTGTCAGCTGCAAGATGATTTCTCCAATACCCTCCTTACTAGCCTCTAAATTCCATCTATATAAACACCCAATGCATCTAAAACTCTGCTGTCTGCACATTATCATATACCAACTCTAACATAGTTATTTCCATGCTTTCGAAAAGCATCTCCAAACTCAATCTTTGTTGATCTTCTTGATCAATTCCATCTTATTGAAACATATAAGATCCTCAGGAAACTTGACAGCGTGGATGTAAGAAAAATATTTCCTTTTGCAGCAGAGACTAAAATTAGGTGATGCAATTTAGAAGTAAGTAAGGGATCTCCCACTAAAGACAGAGATGAAGAGAAACTTATTCCCTCAGAGTGCCATTAGTCTGTTAAATTCTGTCCCCCAGAGTAGTGGATACAGGTTCATTGACTATTTTTAAGATTGAGTTAGATGGATTCTTGACTGACATAGATGTCAAAGACTATAGTTGGTTGACAGGAAAACAGAGGTCAAAATTAGATCAGCCATGATGAAGTAGCAGAGCGGAGTTGTGGGGCCAAATGGCCTATTCTTGTGGCAAACTTGTACGCTTGTATGATCTTTGGCTATGTCTAACTGCGCTTAAAGCATCAATGCTTATCATCTATTTCATGTATATTTTGTTAGGTATTTTAAAATTATTCATTGCATCAAATATGTATCAAATGCAAATATTTTGGCATTTCATACGTTATAATGGAAAAAAATAATGTAATGTAATCTAAATGGACTAATGAATTCAGTTTTATTAATGTTAACACTGAGAAAGTATTGTGAACCAAACCCTTTGTTTACTTTCAATGTTAACATTTTAAATAGCAGCAGAAGTAATGATATTTGGAAAATTTATTGTTTCACTTACCTTGAATTCTTCCCAGGCAACAAATGAAGGTCATCAATGTCAAATATTTCACAGACATTATCAGATTTGAGTCGTTTCACAACTGTAATGACATTTTATTTACTGTTAGGAAAATTCTATTTGTTAAACAAAAAGAAACATCATAACATCTAGAACTGTTACTTTTAAACCTAAAACAACATAAATTTTATGTTCAGCCATTTATGTATGTTAACCTTTTGTTCTCGCTATATTTCCACCAACTCAGGGCTGACGTTATCAGCTTATCTTTCAATTCCTTTCTCCCTCATCCTTATTTTGCTTCTCCTTAAATATATTAACGTCATTTGCCTAAATGACTCAATATATTCAAATTCTAAACAATCTCTCGGTAAAGACAATTTCACCGAATTTATTGCTAAATTTATAAAATTTTTAATATTTATGAGTTGAGTTTTGGACTCCTCCAACATGGAAACAGCTTCTCTATGTTCAATATGTCAAACGCCTCCCTAATTTTAACAATGTATATTATCATTCTCGTAGATCCATTTTGCATCATCTCCACCATTTTTATAATATGGAGACTTGGGGCGAAATTTTAACATGGGGGAGTAGATGAGATTGAAAGGGGAGGAGAGTTTAAAAGATGAAAAAATAAAGAAGTGTTTTGGGAAGCTGGATCCAACCTGGGTTTTGCATCTTTTATTCAGGCGGGAAAAGTGGTGGGCAATGCACTCACAGAAGATGCATTGGCATTTTAACTTTGGTAATAAGCCTTAGAGTCCTGGATTAAACTCAATTTGCAGGTTTCAACATGGCCGGTTGGTTTCATAGGCCTAATGAAATATGGCGGCTGCAAAGTAAGTCTGAGAGACAACAGGAGTTGGAGCGCTTACTCCAAAATCAAGCCCCTGCCCCTAACTTCAAGAAACACATCACCACTTCCTCACTACCTCCTCACCCATACTTCCAGCTAAAAACTCCCACTTCCTCCCTACAAAATGCCTGGTTCTAACTACCACCCTCACAGTCACAATAAGACCCTGCACCTGGGATCATGGATTGGATTATCTTCAGGCTTTGGGATGAATCTCCCACTTCCCCCTTCATCCCCAGAACAGGCCTTCACCCCCAGTCCAGGATTGGAACCCTTAGGACAAGGAATGAAAAGCTCAAGCCCTCATTGTTAAATATTATAAAATACTCTTTTATCCAATAAGACTGGTTTTGATTTGTTTTGATTTTTTTTTCTCTATGCCAATCTTTATTGAACACAGATTTTTCCAAGATTAGCTTCACAATTACACTTGGGTCTTAATATTGTGCAAATTAAAGAAAATAAATTATGTTTATGTTTTCTTTACTATTTTCTTTCCTTTTGTAAACTTTTGCTTTTTTATTCCTTTTTTCCTTCCTGAGACAAACCAGAATACCTGAATCTGTTTCTGACAGAAATCACCTGCCATGTCTTTTAAAAGATCTGAAACAAGTTTTTCAATCTTCCAATCCAGTGTTAGGGGCTGATGACATAGTTATGGAATTCTTCCTAAGAACAAAGCATTTATATGTGAAATTTGTCAAATGGCGGTAGGCTTGTAATCAACGGTGTGCCTCAAGGATTGCTGTTGGGTCCACAGTCATTCGTCATTTATATGAACGATTTGGATTAGAATATAAAATGCAGGCGACATCCAAATTGGTGGTATAGAGGAAAATGAAGAAGGTTATCTAAGAGTACATGTGATCATGATCAACTGGACTAGTGAGGTGAGGAATTGTGCAAGGTGTTACATTTTGGTAAGACAAACCAGGGCAGGACTTACACAGTTAATGGTAGGGTCCTGGGGAGTGTTGTTGAACAGAGAGACTTAGGGGTGCAGGTATATAGCTCCTTGAAGTGGCATCACAGTTAGACGGGGTGGTGAAGGTGGTGTTTGGCACGCTTGCCTTCATCAGTCAGAGCACTGAGTACAGGAGTTGGGATGTCAGGTTGCGGCTGTACAGTACATTGGCGAGGCCACTTTTGGAGTATTGTGCACAATTCTGGTTGCCCTGCTTTAAGAAGCATGTTAATAAACTGGAAAGGGTGCAAAAAAGATTTACAAAGATGTTACTGAGACTGGAAGTTTTGGAGTTATAAGGAGAGGCTATAACCTTGAGGTTATAGAGGTTTATAAAATCATGATGGGCATAGATAAGGTGAATAGCCAAGGTCTTTTCCTCACAGTAGGGCAGCAGTGCTAGCCACTGAGTCACCATGCCACCCAAATAGTTTACAGAAGTAACTAGTATTTGAATCCAGGTCACAGTGCATGAATTTTGGAATCAATCTTTTTATAAATTTCAGAAAACAATAAAATGTCCTTTTAAAGCATTTGAATTGTGACTCACACTGATGGTCAGACGGAACTAAACATTATTTAGGAAGTTAATAAAGGAAATATTAGAACTTTAATGAAAATTCCAGAATGCATATCTTTGATTGGCTTGTTTAATAACTGAGCTTTTTACCTCATGGTATTCAACATTCATCTGTTAGAAACAACTGTGAACATTTTTTTAAAGTAACAAGTTCAGTGTCCACCTTAAAGACAATGGGAAGAGTTTGCATTGAATGTAATTTTAACATGATAACATGGTTTATGTATTTCAAAAGCAAATCCAATCAAATATGTCAAAGCAAGCAAAACCCCATTTCTACCAATCTTATAAAGTTTCAGAAAATAGCGTGTCAAAGGATCACAACACTGTTAATTCAATAATGTCTGTAATGAAACCTTTGCCGAGGTTTGATTACTTAACTATATACTGTTAAAATAACTAAAAGCAGGCTATTAATGTTTTTAAAAAGTCCCAATACTTATTCTATTCAAAGACTTTCTGTTCAATCTGACTCTATAACAAGCCTACCTAATGTGTTGGACTTCTAGAAGGCATTCTGCAAGTTATCTCACAAAAGGTTAAGTTGAAAGATGAGAGCTCATAGTGTTGAAATTAATGTCTTGGCATGGGTAGAGAGTTGGATGATGGGCAGGAAACAGCAAGCGAGGATAAGGGGTTCCTTTTCAGATTGTCAATCCAGCACCAGTGGGGTTCCCCAGGGAGCAGTGCTGGCACAACAACAGTTTACAATATATATTAATGACTAGGAAGAAGGAAGTAAATGTACTGTAGCCAAATTTGCAGACAACACAAAAATATGTAGAAAGGCATGTTGCGAAAGGAACACAAAACAATTTACAGAGAAATATTGATAGGTTAAGTAAAAAGTTGGGCAAAATGTTGGCAAATGGAGGATAACGAGGAAAAATGTGAAGCTGTTCATTTTGGAAAGGAGAACAAAATAACAGGGTATTATTTAAATGGAGAAAAACTGCAAAGAGCTTTAACAGAAAGGGACTTGGGCACAAAACACAGAAAGTAGCACACAGTTGCAGCCATTAATCAGGAAGGCTTGGAATATAAGAGTAGGGAAATCTTACTACAACTGTACAAGATGTCGGTGAGACCACATCTGGAATACTTGCGAGAAGTTTTGGTCACTTTATTAAGCAAAGATATAATTTCATTGGAGGTAGCTCAGAGAACTGGGATAATGGAGGGATTATTTCATGAGCAAAGGCTAAACACGTTGGGACTCTATTCACTGGAGTTTAGAAAAATGAGAGATGATCTCACTGAAACATACAGGATTCTTAAGGGGCTTGATAGGGTAAATGCTGTGAGGATATTTCCCCTCATGGGAGAGTCTAGGACCAGAGGGCATAGTCTCAGAATAAAGGGGCACCAATTTAACATTGGGATAAGATGGAATTTTTTCTTCAGAGGATTGAGTTTGGAACTCCTTGCCACAGGTAGCTACAGAAACACAGTAGGTGCATATATTTAAGGCTGAGATTGATTCTTGACCAGTAGGCAAATCAAGGATAACAGGGAAAACACAGGATGCGAGGAATGTCAGATCAGCCATTATTTTGGTGAATGACAGAGCAGCTCAAGAGATCAAATGGCCTGTTCATATTCCTATTTCTTATTGTCATATGGTCTGTAATCTGCAGATGTTTAAAACAAAGCTTGGTTTCACTGAAACACAACTACTCATTTGCATTTTCCGATTTTGGTTACATCTCATGTCAAGATTTGAAATCTTTCATTTTGTGCTGCCAGAAGCTTAATGTAAATAGCAATGCGGTCATGCTTGCATAACATTTCTGAAGTCTTGTTTTTGCATACACAAACAAAGCAAGCTTCAAACAGTCAGCATTTCTGTAACCACTGGTTTTAGTTTCTCAACTGTATAGCAAAAGAAGAAGTATCATATAAAAAATGGTGTGAAGGGTCAGCTAAGAAGAAAAGGAATTAAAACAAAAACATCAATTTTGCCACACACCAACAGACGAACAGGCAGAATTTTGTATTTCCATCCAGCAGGTTTGCCAGTGAGCAACAGTCTAAAATTCCCTGATGTTCTCCTGCTCACCCTCATCCTGTCCACAATTTTAGTTGGAACATGCAGTCGTAGGGCAACTGCCCACCATTGCCATATTTGAGGTCCTTAACCGCATAAATAATGGCCACTTAGGGGCTGCTTCCCACTTGGCCTCAATTTTGAACTTTGTGTTTGGAGTTCTGTGACTAGGGTTAAGTTTGACAGGTTGTCTTAGGTGGAAAGTAGGGGAAGGAGGGGCACATGCATCCAGGGCAACTTTTATACATTGGGCACTGCACATCCCATAGCAAGACCTTCCCTGTTGCAAATATTCCCTTCCCCTTCAGCTTCTTTGTCAATACCATCACCTCCTCTCCCTGACCCTCAGGCCTCACTTCACCTCTCGCTGTAAGAACACGTGGACTCTGGGAACCTGGGACCACTTGTAACCCAAATGTTGACCCACTGCTGCTGTCAGCTCTGGTGGGATCCAGAGCCGCCAAATAATCAGACTGATAGCAGTTCTCTGATGTAGGGCTTTCATTCTGAATGAGGAATGGATGTCAAGTATCCAGCCATTTAACCTCCCCTTACAGTGTAAAATGGCTGTGGAATTGTTGTGGTCAGCAGGGAATCACTCTCAATTTTTTTCAGGTGCCAGGATTTCTCGCCTAGACAATCAAGAAGAGGATTAGATGGAAATTGTCCAACTTCTTCAACTGAAATATATTCTATAGAAATATGGTGAGAGTTCAACTCATTTGCACTTTTCACAACTTCAGAATATTCTAAAGTCGTTTATAGCAAATTACATACATTGGAAGCGCAGTCATTGTTCTAAAGTAGGAAACAAAAGCACTGGTCTGGCTCTCAAGAATGATGCAAATGATTCAACGTGAAATTATAATATTCTTAGTTTGTATTTCGGACAACTTCATGACACTCAAAAAAAAATCTGGTCCAACAAATTTTCTTCCTTGATGTTTGACAGAAGTATTTTAAAAATAGGACTGGGGTAAAAATAAATCAAAATTCCAGCTATGTCAAGATATTATATGCTTTTGTTTGAAGATTCATTGAATACAATCAGATGAATAGCACAAAAAGAAATTAATTTCCATTCATAGTAAAATTTATCTTCTCACTTTTAACTATTCTGGAAACTAAATCAATTGCACCTTTTGCTAGAGTAGAAGATAGCTCTCCATTTCCAGAGTAATTGAAAAATCTAATCTTAGATGGTGCAATTCACAGAATTACAGAATTATTATACTACAGTGCCTGCACCAACTTTATTAACTAGTCTGGCTCCATCGTCTAGTGCCAATCTCCTATTTCCCTATATCTCTGCACAACATTGCTATCCAGAAAACAATCCAATGCCCTCTTAAATGTCTCAATTGAACCTACTCCCACCACATTTCCAAGCTGTGCATTCTATACCCTAACTACTCACTGTGTGAAAATGTTTTTCTCACAGCATCCTTGCTTCACTTGTTCATCACTTTAAATCCATACCCTCCCATTCTTGTTTCTTTTAAAACTGGAAGCAGTTTCACCCTATCTATTCTGTCCAGCCTGCTCATGATCTCCTCTCAGATCTCCTCTCAGTCTTTTCACTCCAAATCAAACAGTCCCAACTTCTTCAATCTATCTCAATTCCTGAAGTTTTCCATGCCTGGAACCATTTTAGTAAATTGCTTCTGCACTCTCTCAAATGCATTCTCATCTTTCCTATAATTTGATGCCTGCAACTGTACATGATTCTCCAGATGAAGTGTACCAAGTGTCTTGTAAAAGTACACTATCACCTTCTCATTCTTGTCTCATTAATAAAGTAGAGAACAATTTATGCCTACATGGCCTGGATTCTTCTCAAAAATAAAACTACACAGAACAAACTAAAGTCATCAAAAATTTCATAAAATAATTCCCAAAATGGATCCTTTAACCTCAAAAGGTTCCCTATGTTTCAGCTTCAACTCATTCTCAAAAAAATTTTTATCATTTAAAATATTTTCTTACAAAATATACATCCTGCATTGTCAGTGGAGTACAAACCTCAATGTTTTATAAAGTTTGCAAATGTCTGCGTTGAAAGCAAATGTGGATACAACTTATGTGAAGCATTCATGGAATATTTTAATCAAGAATCAGTCTGTATCATGACCAAATGTTTAAACAAAAAAATTTCAGGAAAAATGTTACCTTGTTCCACTGACAGTATGAGTGCAAGGACATTGTTTATTGCCCTTCATGCACAACAGTGATGACTGAATATGATCGAGAGTCATCAAGTCATACAGCATGGAAACAGACCCTTCAGTCCAAATCGTCCATGCTGAACATATCCCAACCAAAACTAATCCCAACTGCCAACTCCTGGCCCATATCCCTCCAAACCTTTCCTACTCACGAACTTATCGAACTCCTCGTGAATTTTCATTTCTGTGATTTGTGACCAGCAGGACAAAGTTTGGTGACCCTACCGTTAGCCCTGAAGAGATCACTGAACTCAATCAGAATATAGCCCTGACTATGAGCTATAATGGTTTAGTGGTAGTGTCCTTACCTCTGAGTCAGGAGGCCCAGCTTCAATTCCTTCCTGCTCCAGAGGTGTGGAATAGGATCACTGGACAGGCTGATTTGAAAAGATCGATGGGATATCTTTGGTTCCTTTGGGTATTGGCTGTCTACAGCTTTCTTAGAGACCCTCCAAATTCAGAGCAACTGGAGTTTGACCTTTTTCAAAGGCTCTTCAAACAACCGGCCCGACTACCTAGGAAGGAAACGGAAGTAGCATAATTTAAGCACAAGATGCCCAAAATACCACACTTTTCTTCTTAGCTTTTGACAGCTCTAGTGCGAATGGTTTCAATTTCGTATTAACTGCAAACCAGGAGTTGAGTGGAATGGCCGGCAGGACAAGCTGCCTGGAGAAAGGTTATTCCTGTGATATAATATTGGGACGCAGTTACTTTACGAAACGTATGTATTGAAGCCATGGCAATTACGGCAACTTGAAGAGCCAGTACAGACACAACGGGGCGAATGGCCTCCTTCGACGTCGAACCAACGCAGTAATTCTCCACAAGACCTCTTTAGAATCAGAAATAAGACCAGAATTTACTCGCGGCCAAAGCATTTATCTCCATTCCCAGTCGGATTTCCTGTACCCGTTGGATTATCAACAGAAGCTCCAAACTGTAAAACCACTTTTCAGTACGATTTACCTGAATTCACTTTCGGTGGGGAAAAACGCCTAAGACGAACTGACTTAGAGATAGGGATTTTTTTTTCCCCCACGTTCGTGGCTGACTGTTACCGAAAACGAAAGTTTTGATGATACGATGGTTATTAGAGAGCTATTGATGAAACAATGCTGCAGCTTCGGTGATTCGAGTAGAAATTTCCAAACAGCGATCACAGGCACCTTCACATGTCACAACATGTGCCGAAGTCAGATCCAATAATGGTCACTATAGCGTCTGTTCAGAGTAGGAGACAGAATCGGAATCTTTTTATTCTTGATAATTTCCAGTGGTAAAGAGAGAAGCGGAGTACCTATTGATTTACAGAGTTAACCCTATCTAAAGAAATATACAATACTGAAGTTAATTTTCATTGTTAACCTGCAAAATCAAGGTCCTTTGTAATCCCAGATAAAGAAACTCCAATGATGTCACATTTTTACACAATCTGTTTTGTTATAATCATTTTTTTTAACAACACCGCTTAATCCTACCTTTTACAATCTCACTTATAAGAGCTCTTGTGCCACAGTAGTAGAATCCTTGCCTCTGAAATAGGGGACTTGGGTTCAAGTCCCACTTACTCTGAAGGTATATAACAGCTTCTCTAAACAGGTTGGTTAGAGAGCCTCACTTATCATTGTTTCCACCAAGCTCACACCCTCCCACTTGCTCTAACACCTACCAAGCGGTAACATCCTCCCGTCCACTGCATTGCCTCCTTTACTTTTTCACACCTTTAACAATTTGTTTCCAATGCTTCCAGCTGACATTTAGCCAATGAACACAACTCTAAAATACTCATGTTCCTCCTCGCTGTAGTCCTAGGTCGCTAGTATGGGCAGGGGAAGGAAACAGATCCCAAATTCACCCCAACTGGAACAGGGATTGAACCCCATGCTGTTGGGGCTAATCTGACCCACACTGGCTGTCTGGCCTGCTGACCCACCAAAGTGCCTGGTGTAGCCTGGAGCTTTGGATAGTGATGGAAGAGGCTCTGATTTTCTTTCAATCACATGATTGACCAAGAATCTCTGCCACTTTTATCAGCTGCCATTGCTGTTTGTTGGAAGGATTTATAAGTTGATACTCTGACTATATACCCTTTCCTTAGCATTCAAGGGATGGAGCAGGACTTACATTCAGAGCTTCTGGCTAAAGGGCAGTTTGCTAACTTAGCCACAAGACCACTTAGAAATATAAACATGACCAAATAATTTTATCTGGGCACAGTGGCTTGTCAAAGAAACTTAAAGGACTAAAATGCAATATGTTCTAGTGATTTAAACACAAGTGCAAGGTGGCGCAGTGGTTAGCACTGCTGCCTCACAGCACCAAGGACCTGGGTTTGATTCCACCCTTGGGTGACTGTCTGTGTGGAATTTGCACATTCTCCCCATGTCTGTGTGGGTTTCCTCCAGGTGCTCTGGTTTCCTCCCACAGTCACAAAGATGTGTAGGCTAGGTAGATCAGCCATGCTAAATTGCCCATAGTGTTGATTAGGCGGGTTATAGGGGGATGGGTCTGGTGGGATGCTGTGAGGTTTGGTGTGGACTTGTTGGGCCAAAGTGATTCTGTTCTATTCTATACTGCACAAAGAGAATAAAATAACAGAGGGATCCTTTATTTCAATGGCAGTGAATCTTTATAAGTGGTAATAGAAAAGTGTGACTAAAGAGGAATAAAATATTTACAATGGAAATTTCCTCGATACACCAGATCCACCAAGATATTGCTGAAGAGTTTAACTCCTGATCTCTAATTAGATGTGTAACTCCGTTCATTTGGAGAAACTCCTACTACTGGCTTCCTGTTTCAAGTAACACCAATTATCTTGTGTCCCAGATACAGAGTAAATCTTCCTCATCTCAGATTTTCAAACTCAGAAGTTTTGCCCAGACAGTTTCTGTAGATTTTTATTCACTCCACTGTCATATCCAAGCTCTAGCCACATCAGTGGCTTCAATCCACATTATTCATGACCATATGACCATGAGACCATAAGACATAGGAGTAGAATTGGGCCATTCAGCCCATTGAGTCTGTTCCAAGATTTAATCATGGCTGATATGTTTCTTAAACTCATTCTCCTGCCTTCTCTCCATAACCTTACTAACCAAGAACCTTTCTATTTCTGTCTTAAAGACACTCAATGACTTGGCCACACAGCCCTCTGCGGCAATGCGTTCTACAGATTCACCACTCTCTGGCTGAAGAAATTTCCCCTCATCTGTTCTAAAGGATCACCCCTTCACTGAGGCTGCGGTCTCGGGTCCTAGTCTCTCCTACCATTGGAAACAAACATCTTCTCCACGTCCATCCTATTCAAGCCTCTTTATATTCTGTAAGTTTCAATTAGATCGCCCCTCATCCATTGAGTACAGACCCAGAGTCCTCATTCGCTCCTCATATGACAAGTTGTTCATCCCTGGGGTAATTCTTGTAAGTGTCCTCTGGACCTGCTCCAACACCAGCACATCCTTCCTTAGATATTGGGCCTAAAACTGCTCAGAAAATTCCAAATGTAGTATGACCAGAGCTTTATCCAGCCTCAGCTGTATATTAATGCTCTTGTATTCTATGCCTTCTTGACATGAATGCTAACATTACATTTGCCTTCTTAACTGCCAACTGAACCTGCATGTCGACCTTAAGAGAATCCTGAACTAGGACTTCTAAGTCCCTTTGTGTTTCAGATTTCCAAAGCCGTTCCCCGTTTAGAAAATAATCTACGTCTCTATTCTTTCTAGCAAAGTGCATAACCTCACAATTTCCCCTACTGTATTACATCTGCCACTTCTTTGCTCACTCTCCTTGCCTGTCCATATCCTTCTGCAGCCTCCCCACCTGTCCACACTACCTGTTCTTCCACCTATTTTCATGTCAACTGCAAACATAGCAACAATGTCCTCAGTTCCTTCATCCAGACTGTTAATGTATAATGTGAATAGTTGTGGTCCCAGCACTGGCTCTTCAGTATGGGTGACCTGTATGCTTCAGCTCCTACACTGACAAAAAGCAGGTATTACTGGATAGGGTTTCCTTTCTTTACATTTGTGGCAGTCTTTCTTTTTTAAAGTACATTTTGGCATTAAAAGTAAAACTGTCTACAAATCCTCCTAAGTTCTAAAACATCAAAACACAGTCCAGGATTGCCCATCACTCTCAAAATCCTCTTCGTGTATGCCAAAAGCTGACAGTGCTTCAGGTTCTGCCACATTTAAGAAGGGAGGGAGGCAAAAGGCGGGTAGCTATAAGCTGATTAGCCTAACATCTATTGTTAGAAAAGTATTGGAATCAAATACTAAGGAAATAATAGCGGAACATTGGGAAAATCATAATCCTATCAAGCACAGTCAGCATGGATTCATGAAAGGGAAGTCATATTTGACTAATTTATTAGAGTTTTTCAAGGAAGTCTCAACTAGAATGGATAGAAGGGAACCTGTCAATGTTTTTGTATTTGGACTTCCAGAATACATTTGACCTGGTACCTCACAGAAGGTAAAGTCACAAGAAAAGAGCCCACAGTGTTGGAGGCATTGTATTAGCATGGATACAGAATTGGCTAATGGGCAGGAAACAGCGAGTCAGGATAACAGATTCTTTTTCAGGTGAGCAGCCCATGACTAGTAGGGCTCCACAGGGATCGGTGCTGGCACCACAGCCATTTACAATACATATTCATGACATGGAGAAAAGAAGTGAATGTACTGCAGTCAAAATTTGAAGACAATGCAAACGTAGGTAGAAAGGCAGGCTCTGAAAGGGTACAAACATTTCACAGAGTGATATTGATAGGTTGTTAGTTGACAAATGGTGTATAATGTCAAAAAATGTGAAGTTGTTCATTTCGGAAGGGATAACAAAAGAACAGGGTACTATTTAACTGGAGAAAACTGGAACACAAAGAGATTTGGGGTACTTGTACATAAAACACAAAGCTAGCTCACAGTTGCAGCAGGTAATCAAGAAGGCTAATGGAATGGTGGGCCTTATATCAAGGAGGTTGGAATACAAGAGTAGGGAAGTCTTACTGCAATTGTGCGAGGTGTTGGTGAGACCACATCTGGAGTACTGTGAGCAGTTTTGGTTCCCTTATTTAAGGAAAGATATTATTTAATTGGAGGCAGTTCAGAGAAGGTCTGCTAGGAAGATCCCTGGTATGGAGAATTGGCATGTGAACGAAGGCTAAACAGGTCGGGACTTTACTCACTGGAGTTTAGAAGGATGGAAGGTGATCACATTGAAACATTTAGGATTCTTAAGGAGGTTGACAGGGTAAATGCTGAGATGATGTTTCCCCGATGTGAGAGTCCAGGACCAGAGGACGTAGTCTCAGAATAAACAGGCACCAGTTTAACACTGAGATGAGGAGGAATTTCTACTCTCAGAG